CGCTCGCGCCAGGGGGACGTCACTCAACGATCATCTGCTGACCGGTCCGGACTTACTTCAATCGTTACCAGGGGTGTTAATGCGATTCAGACAACATCCAATAGCCGTCGCCGCAGATATAGAAGAAATGTTTCTACGAATAGAAATCAACGAAGAAGATAGAGATGTCCTGCGGTTCCTGTGGCGACAACACCGGCGGGAGGGACCACCCCGCGAATATAGAATGAAGGCAGTGATCTTCGGCGCCGCCTGCTCACCGTGCATCGCTTTGTACATCAAGAACCACAACGCAGAACAACACAAGGAACAATATCCAAGAGCAGCCGACGCAATTATCCATAACCACTACATGGATGATTACCTTCAAAGTTTCCAAACAGAGGAAGAAGCTATAAAAATCACCCATGAAGTTGACACCGTACATAGGAAAGCAAAATTCCACTTAAGGAAGTGGACATCGAACAGCCCGCAACTACAAGAAAAATACAACGGCACAAGAATAGAAGATAAGACCGTCTCCATAGATAGAGCCGACAAAGAAGAGAAAATATTAGGCCTCACGTGGAGGCCCGCCACGGACACATTGGGCTTCAACTTAAATATGGCCCGAATTCCGCAAGAGATAGTCAACGGAAGTCACACACCGACGAAGAGAGAAGCCCTCCGTACGGTCATGTCTCTCTTCGACCCACTAGGATTAGCATCACCCGTCACCGTGCAAGCGAAAGGTATCTTACAAGAAACATGGCGAATCGGCATCGGCTGGGACGAGAAATTACCTGAGAAGTTAGCCGAAGACTGGACGAAGTGGACACAGCACTTAGTCAATTTACGCCATATCAACGTGCCACGATGTCATCCGGAGCTGAGCAGCGCGTCATCCAGGGAACTGCACACATTCGTAGACGCAAGCGAGAACGCCTACGCCGCCGCCGTGTATTGGAGAGTGCAAGACAAGGACGGCAACATTCACGTGACACTCGCCATAGCCAAGGCGCGAGTTTCACCTCTGAAGATAGTATCTATACCAAGACTCGAGTTGCAAGCCGCTGTCCTGGGTTGCCGGTTAGCACGCACGGCTACAGAAGAATACCAGATTAAACCGGACCGTCGATACTTCTGGAGCGATTCAAGAACAGTATTAGCGTGGTTAAGGGCTGGTCCACGCACATTTAAACCATTCGTGGCGCATAGAGTCGCGGAAATAGAAGAAGAAACGAAAGCGAACGAATGGAAATGGGTACCTACGCGTCACAACGTGGCCGATGACGCAACTCGAGGAGTGCCCACAGATTTCGACACGGAACACCGATGGTTCACCGGACCCCAGTTCCTATACAAGCCGCAGGAAGAATGGCCCGGGCAAGATGAGCCTGGTGGCATAACAACAGACACCGGAGAAGAACGCACGCACATGGTATACACAGGCGATAGCAACACAACAGACAGCGGCGTACTCCCGGACATCACACGCTTCACGTCATGGCTGCGACTACTACGAGCCACAGCACGCGTGTTGCAGTTCATCGACCGGCTACGCGAAGCAGTCGAAAATAGAAAAAACACCGCCTCACAAAACGCGGTACATTATAGGCGCACAGCGCGCAATATAGAGAAGGACCCGGCGTGGAATAAGAAGACGGCTCGCAAAATAGTACAGACAGCGCCGAGGTTCGACAATAGTGAAGAAAGAAATTTCGTCAAATTAACTGCGGAATATATACAACGCGCGGAACAATTGTGGATACGGGCCGCGCAACAAGAATCGTTCAAGAACGAAATAGAAACACTCCGCGGTAAAGGGACAGTCGATAACAATAGCCGACTGAAACCACTAGCGGTGATCGAAGAAGACGGTTACATCAAGTTGAAATCAAGAATAGCAGCAGTCGTCGATGTTACAGATAGCATGAAGAAACCGATAGTCCTGGATGGGAATCATCGATATACCCAGTTGTACCTGGACTGGGTGCATAGAACACATCACCACGCCGGAGTCGAGTTGGTGATGAACGAAGCTCGACAGCATTATTGGATACTTCGAGCAAGACCGACAATTCGCAGCATCGTCAAGCGATGTCAACTGTGCCGACTACGACGAGCGACAGCATCGATCCCGCCCACCGGCGACCATCCAGTCAGCCGACTCGCCCATCACCAGAGGCCGTTCACATACACAGGCGTGGACTTCTTCGGGCCTCTTAGTGTCACCGTGGGGCGACAACACCACAAACGCTACGTCGCGTTGTTCACATGCTTGACAACGCGAGCAGTACATTTAGAGTTAACCACTTCATTGTCCACAGACTCCGCAATATCCGCACTCAGGCGGATGATGGCCCGACGAGGGAAGCCAACCGAGATCTGGTCAGACAATGGGACCAACTTCCACGGCGCAGACGCAGAGCTACGTCGCGCCGCCATAGAAGCAAGTCGCGAAGACGCGGCTAATCATCGTATACGCTGGCGGTTCATCAGCCCCAGCGCACCATTCATGGGAGGAGCGTGGGAACGTCTCGTCCGCTCCGTGAAAACAGCATTAGCCGCCACACTGCATGAGCGGCACCCTTCGGAAGAAACATTAGTCACACTGCTGTGTGAGGCGGAATATACCGTGAATAGCCGTCCGCTCACACATGTGTCAACTGAACCGGACGACGAGGAAGCCCTCACGCCTAACCACTTTCTACTGGGAGGATCGGGCAAAGTGCAAACTCCGGGAAGCTTTGAAGACACCGATATCGATAGCCGGAGTCACTGGAAGAGAGCGCAACGGCTAGCAGACCACTTCTGGAGCCGATGGCTCCGGGAGTACCTACCGGAACTTCAACACCGGCGGGAGCCCCGCGGCACGGGGCAACCTCTGCGCATCGGAGACTTAGTCCTGATCGTCGACTCCAATCTCCCGCGCAACACATGGCCGCGCGGGAGAGTAATAGCAGTGTTTCCCGGCCCAGACGGCGTCATCCGAGTGGCCGACATCCAGACCAAGAATGGCGTGCTGAGGAGGCCAACCAAACGACTCGTGGTCCTGCCAACGGGAGTTGCTGATAGTGAAGAGCGGGTTCCGGAACCAGACAAGGCTCCTGCAGCGCCCTCGACGACCGCTGCAGCGGCGGGAGAATAATGTTCCGGACCACCGCTTAAAGATTATGTATAGTCATAGATTGTAGAAATAAGTTCGATTAGAGATAGCAAATTTATAAATAGTACAATTGTTACATAGTAACACCTTAAGAATAGTAGATTTGATAGGGATAAGTTTATAGAGATTTAAGTACTTTATGTTATTATTTACGAAAATGCTTGGATATATAGGATAAGATGACAAATAAATGATTATAATGGTTGTGGTTTCAATCCCCTGAAAATAAATAGGAACAGAATAGAATATAGTATAAGAAATAGATCCCAAAATACATAGGCATAAACTATAAAAAGGGATCTTTTAAAGTATCATTATGTAATCATTTATAGATGTAATTGTAATGTGCGTTGCGCGGCAGCATTCGTTCGACTGACGCGCGACCTCGCTCTCCCGCGCTATATATATATGAGGGGGAAGGGGAGCGAGGTCATATAAAAGGCGCGATCCGCGAAATCGCGAATTATTCCTAAACCGCACGTCGCGCAGCGCACACATCATAATAAAAATGTAAATTAAAGATGGTATTGACGTTTGATGCACAAATTGTAAACACAAAATGTAAGACTGATAAAATATAATAAAAATTATATAAAGGGGTGAGGAGAATAGGGCGGCCAAGGGTCCGCTGGCTAGTAGCCAAAAATCGTATATAAGTAGCGTCCAAAAGCGCTACAAATCATAGCGAATCTGACCTCAGAATAGCGAATCTGACCTCAGAATAGCGAAATAGATCTCTGAAGAGCGAATTCAACCTCTGAATAGCGACATCAACTACTGAAGAAATTCTCCTCGCCTCTGCATTCTGAACCACAAGAACCGTTTTCTCATTTACTGCCCGTCCATCATCGCCATCGTCAAGCATAGTCGTCACAACCCTTTTCACGCATCGTGTCATCGCATCGTGTCACCGTCGCATCAGCATCGTGTAAACGTCCTTCTCAGGACGAATCATCGTGGTGCCTATAAAGAGGCACCTGGTCCTTCACCCGCAACGCGCCCGCGGCGTTGATTGAGGCCCTTCAGGTAGGGAGTGCTTTGAAAAGGGCACTCTCTCACCTCGAGGAGGATAGATTGACGTCCGGGCGTACCAGCGACTCGGTGCCTGCCGACGCGCCTTCCGACTCCCGGGGGCAGCGGCCAGCACACCTTAATTAATACTAAGACTAACTAAATAAAGAAAATAATTATTTATAAAAAATATTTTTTATAACACATTTTCTTTTTTAATACGGCCGGATCTCTATCCGGCCAAATAGTAGTTATCCGGCCGGATAGTATTAAGGACGCCAAATAGGCTGGATACCGGATAGTTACCGAATATCCTTTTCATCTCTAATAAAAACAAGGATGTAACATGTAAGAACTATAAATTTAAATACAAATGCAGAATATAAAATACATTTATGATTAGCCAGTTACAATATTTATTATACAAAAATACTAGGGATGTTATGGATATGAAATATCGGATACGGATAGGTTTCGGATATAGAAATGATTGTTATACCGGATACGGATACGGATATGAAATTATTTCGGATTATCCGTTACTTTCGAATAATTTCGGTTACGGATATTAATTTTTTAAAGAATTTCAAAAGTAAAATACGAACAGCAAATAAAATGGTTATATAACATATCTCAATTAGGGTCCTTCCCTATCCGATATTATTCGAAACTTTTATTTCGGATTCGATTACGGTTACGGATATTTTTTTATATCGGATATCCGATAGTTTCGGTTACGGTTACGGAGAATCCCTGACATTCCTGAAAAATATATATTAATTTTTAAATTCAAGTTAGGGAGAATGTTACGACCACCAACATAGAAAATACTCTTTTCTTGCAGTTCAAGAGGTAGACAACAAAGACATGGACGGAGAGAGACCTCTGGATATAGTTCTAGAACAAGTGAAGGTGGACTTTGAAGTGGTGAAGTTGGACTGTGATGTTGAAGTGAAGAAGGAGCTCGAGGAAGAATCGACACATGAAGAAACTGAAGAATTTAAAGAAGACTGTAAAGATGATAAGTAAGTTACCTTAATTACTTGATTCTATATTATATTCTAAACTATTTACATAAATTCTTCATTCTTTTTCAAATATATTTTTCGAAAATTGTGAGAATAATCGATGAATATAATTTTAAAACTCAATTTGTCTATGGTCGCCTGTATAGGGGGGAGGGGGTAAGAGCTTTGCTTTCTTTTTCTGACAAGGGGGTTGGGGGGGGGGAGGGGGGTAAATATTTGTAATAAATCTACTTACATAATACTTGAATGGCTCTGTATTATTCTGCACTGGTAAATACTTAATTTGCCATGAAATTAGTCGTTAAAAGACGCGGTTAATAATATAAATAATGTTTCTATTGAATTTCTCTGAATAAATATTACACTAATTGGACAAATAGGTACCGTGAGGTCAAAAAGCTACTATTGAGGGTTCCAATTGAAACTACCATTCTATAGGGATGATAGGAATTTATTAAATAAAAATACTATAGGGAGGTCATCAAAACAAAAAAAAATCTTAATAGCGCCATCTACATTTACCTGTGGCGCCATCTAGTTTGCACGGAGTGAACTAATATTATACATTTGAAACCATCTTGAACACTAATGAGTGCGTAGTGATTTCTAAGTTGATTATCGCATGCCTCTTGTTACACTGTAATTATTTATATAAAAAAAACATCTATTCAAAAGAGAAACACACAAGTTTCTTGCTCATTCTTCTTGTGATGAATCTGCATTCCGAATGAGTGGTAGAATCAAAATATGACTATTCAAAAGTGCTTGTAATGAGTTTATTTGAATAAAGATTATTTCTATTTTATTCTATTCTATTGTTTACAGTATATCAGACGATGACTATTTCCCTTCAAACACCTGGGCGTCAACTCCCAAAATAGAGAGCGATCCACCATCTCCCATTCAGTCACGTCGTAAGACTGAAGGTCCACTGGAATGCAAGATATGCCACAAGAGTATCAGCACAGCATCATACATGAGGATACATATGAGGACTCACACTGGAGAAAAGCCATTCAAATGTTATATTTGTAATAGAGGATTTATCACGTCAAGCAAGATGCATAGGCATGTGTTAACGCATTCCGAGTCTTGGGAAGGTGAGTGCTAACCTTACTAATATAGACGTAACGTGTTGGATATGTGTCTACTTCACGATATCGTACGTACGTACGTGTCTTACCGTACACCGTCGCGCCGCACACGGCACACCCCGCTTTTGGCAGTACCTCGCCGTGCCTCAAACTATGCAACTAACTCACCCCTCGCTAGAATACCTCGTGTATACAATAACGAATTTCATGACGTGGACTTGTTTTTTCACACAAAAGGCACATTTAAAAAGCACATAGTTAAATATATAAGTGACAGTTACGAAGCGATAGTCTAGTATCTATAATATGCACACTGCATACATTGTATGGACAAATTACCGGCATCAGTGTGTAGTATATTATATGGAGATGTATAGCTTCCACACTCATTCATTCAATCATTTATTTAATTCATTTTTTTTTATGTGTTCATGTTATTTCTTTGATTTCCTATTTTGTTATTTTGTTTTAGCGCAAGCCAATACTACATACTTTGTGTTAATTAAGTGAAACCTATAGTAGCTTTAATTTTACAACATAAGTTAATGTAAATGAAATTGTAACGCTGTTGGTTTCTAATAAATAAATAAATAAAATATCTTTTAAGCTATTGCATAGTTTTACAGGCGCGGGTCTTGACAGCAAAAGTAAACGGAGCTCTTACCCCCTCCCCTCGTGCTTACGTAAACATTTTTCAATTAATCTATTGTTATTGTTCATCGAGAGAGGTAAATAACTTGATTTGCCATAAAATTATTCGTGTTAAGACCCGGTTAATAATTTAAATAATGTATATTAAACACGAAAGTTTAAAATTAACTAATGTATTGTTTTTTTTTATAAAAACAAAGTGAGGGTTGAAATTCGTAATGTAAGTAAATGACTACCGATGACGTAATCATCCTCTAAACTTCTCTACCCCTCATGTCATCCAATATAAGCAAAGCAAAGACCTCAAACTTATTTATTAGGCTGTTAATTAAATATAATTAAATATGACATTCAAAGTTTGTAAATAAAATAAAATAGAGGATGAAAGTTTTTTATGCAAAAATTCGTCATATCGTATAAAAGTCCTGTTAAAATCGGTCCAGCCATTTCAAATATTAGCCTGAACAAACTGACAGACAGACAAAAATTGTAAAAAATGTTATTTTGGTGTATGTACCGTATTTATATTCATATGCATGTAGTAAACGGTTATTTCAATATTACAAACAGATACTCCAATTTTATTTATATATATAGATAATTCTGATAACACTCCTTAGGGGTGAGAAATTGTGCAGACCGCACTGTTTCTCTTCCTAATTCCCGGCTATCAGACTCACCACTGTTCTCATTCGACGTTGTTAGCTTCATGCCCGCATGACGCCAGCAGTGTACGCAAGAGACGACATTATACTGCCTTCTCTTTCTCACATATACACAGGAAGTCGCAAGTAAAGTTAAGCATCAACACGCAAGTTTCACGCGTTCTCTTTGTGATGAGTCTGCGTTCCGAATGAGTGAATTAGAATATAAAATGTGACTATTCAATAAGAGCTTATATTAAGTTTATTTGAATATAGATTACTAGCTACTCGCCCCGACTTCGCCTGGGTGTACATGTATTATACATATAAACCTTCCTCTTGAATCACTATAAAAAACCGCTTCAAAATCCGTTGCGTAGTTTTAAAGATTTAAGCATACATAAGGACGGACAGACAGCGACAGCGAATTTGTTTTATACTATGTTATGATTTCTGTTTAAGGTGAGGACGGCGCTGAACTAAAAATGGAGAATATCAAGTCTGAAGAAGAAGAGGGTGATGAGAAGAAAAAAGTGGATAAAAAGTGAGAATTAAAACTTAATCCTTAATCTATACTAATATAACGCTGAAAAGTTTGTTTGGCTTTTTTTTATAACACAGGGGACAAAGAAGCATGCGGCTCACCTGATGGTAAGTGATTACCGCCGCCCATTAGCACCAACACTAGGGGAATTGCAAGTGCGTTGTCGGCCTTTTAAAAAGGAATAAGCTCTTTTCTTGAAGGTTTCAATATCGTATCGGTTCGGAAATACCATTGCTGGAAGGTGATTCCACAATGTGGTTGTGCGAGGCAAAAAGATTCTAGAAAACCGCACTGTGGAAGACCGCCATTCATACAGATGATCAGGATGGTATTTCAGTTTCTGGCGGGTGGTACGGTGGTGAAACAGCAGCTGGTATTAATCCGAACAATTCCTCAGAACACTCCCCGTGATATATGCGGTAGTGTATTTGATACCCACGCGAACGAGGTCGCGGGCACAACTAGTTTTTTTATATAATCAACTGATCTAGTTATGGATACCCTTTTGAGAAGAACTGACAAGGAATTCAACTTTGTTTTTGATTAAAAATACGTTATGATTAAAAAATTAGTTTTGTTATTGTTATGTGTATCAAATAAACTTATTTTCTTTCTGATTATAATAATTGCGACGGACCCGGTGGTCCAGCTGTTTAGCACACCGCCTCACTTCCGATGGTCACGGGTTCGATTCCTCGCACGGTATAAATATTTGCATTCATGAGTATGATTGTTTTATGATTGTTCGCTCTGAGTGTTTTCTATGTATAATATGTATGTACTTACAAATAAAAATCTATGTATATGTATCAGTTATCTAGTACCCATAACAAAAGCTTTAGCTAGCTTAACTTGGGTCTAGATGGCGCTGTGTTAATTGTCCTGAGATTATTATTATCATACCCGTGAACGAGTGCTGCTTGTAGAGACTGGTGTGCTCTTATCACTACGACTGATTTAATCTTATTGTGTTTTTCTATTTGACTCTAATAAATTAGTGCTGGTTGGTAGTTATCGGCCCGTTATTGACCCTCATCATTAGTTTGAGGTTAGGCCTATCTAGATTCAGATGGCGTTTTGTCAATCGATGGTTTTTTTTTGGAATTGCCACTTTCGATTGTTTGCAATCAGTGGTTTGTTTCAATTTTTGGTTTTGCATCTAGTATAGTATTAACCGTAATAAATTAGTGCTAGTTAGTACACGTTTCCACTAAAAAAGTAATCATACATGAAAATAAAGGGACATGCTTGTAAACATTTATTACAGCAGAGATTATACAAAACAGCCAATGATTCTCATTGTAGGTCTAAAAATGTGAACTTACAAGGATTATTTAAAAGAGCAACACACAAGTTTCTTGCTCGTTCTTCTTGTGATGAGACAGCTTTCCGAACGAGTGGTAGATTAAAAAAATGTAATGACTATTCAAAAGTGCTTAAATTAAGTTTATTTGAATAAATGATCTTCTATTCTATTCTATTCTATTATAATTCCAGGGCCCTGATCAAGAAGGCGAAGGCCAAGTTTGCGAAGAAAATGAAGAAGTCAGAAGTAAGTCGACGGTCACAACGGCGGCCACACGCCTGCAGCTTCTGTCACAAGAGATTCCTACACCTGGAGACTTTACAGGTGATTTTTTTTTCACCTGCAATTTTTTATGTACTTGTATGCGACGTAAGGCGACGGAAGGAGAATTTTTATGTACTTGTTTGCGATGTAAGGCGACGGAAGGAGAATTTTTATGTACTTGTTTGCGATGTAAGGCGACGGAAGGAGAATTTTTATGTACTTGTATGCGATGTAAGGCGACGGAAGGAGATTTTTATGTACTTGTATGCGATGTAAGGCGACGGAAGGAGATTTTTTATGTACTTGTATGCGATGTAAGGCGACGGAAGGAGAATTTTTATGTACTTGTATGCGATGTAAGGCGACGGAAGGAGATTTTTATGTACTTGTATGCGACGTAAGGCGACGGAAGGAGAATTTTTATGTACTTGTTTGCGATGTAAGGCGACGGAAGGAGAATTTTTATGTACTTGTATGCGATGTAAGGCGACGGAAGGAGATTTTTTATGTACTTGTATGCGATGTAAGGCGACGGAAGGAGATTTTTATGTACTTGTATGCGATGTAAGGCGACGGAAGGAGAATTTTTATGTACTTGTATGCGATATAAGGCGGCAGGAGAAGAATGGAAACGATTGGAGGAGGCCTTCGCCGATTGGAAAAAAGATCTACAGAAATTAAAAAAGATACAAATAATAAAATAATTATTTCATTTTAAGTTTCAAAGTTTTATTATTTTATATACTCTTTATTGCACCAGGAAAATTACATTAATAGAGTAATTAATATTAAAGGGTACAAAAGGCGGCCTTATCGCTTAAGCAATCTCTTCCAGGCAACCTTTGGGTAAAGAAACCATCGTGTTAAATTCCTGGTGAATTAGCACTATGTGCTAACTGACCTGACCTCATGCTCATCTTATCATCCTCCACTGGTGCCCCGCCAGCGTAAACCGTTAGCGCAGGCGAGTGCACCATTCCATTATCAACCATCAAAAAAAACCTTTGGGTATATGAGAAAAAACAAGTTTTATGTTTGTTTTAAAATAATATATAAGTCAGATCTGAGTATCTGCAGATTCTGCCAAACTGAAGAGGAAACGCCACTACACATCCTATGTGGTTGTAGCCCACTCGTGCAACGAAATATCTCCTTTGGAAAGTTTACACTCTATCCTGAGGAGATAAAAACCATCGCTCCTAAGAATATCCTTCAATTCTTGTCCCTGACGGGTCTAGGTAGCGAACTTTGAAAAAGGGCGAGCACAATAGATGTATATAGGTCGCAGTGCTACAGGTGATACAAACATCTGACAATAAGAAGGAAGGGAATTGTTAGTAATGTGGATTGATAACCCCATCGCTTCATAATTGTATACGCAATGTAAGAATTCATAATGTAACAATACAACACAATGTAATGAAAACTGTGAAATTAGTAGTAGTGTAAGATTTATATAATTGTATTGCATATTGGTAAATGTAACTGGCTCCTAGGAAAAGAAAAAAAATACTGCAAACAAAATATATATATATATATATATAGGAGCCTAGGAGCACAGCCTAACACTTCTGAAGAAAAAGGAAAAAAATCCTAATAAAGATAGGTGACACTGCATGTTGTCAACTCACCCGGCCGGCCAGCGGTGGTTCTGGGCCAGACGGATAAGGTCTGCCTCGGTGCCACTGTTAGGCAAATTGTAACATCTCGGCTGGAGTTGTACAAAAGTGGGAATTAAAGAAATATATTATTGTTATATTAAAAAAAAAACCCCCATTGTTAGCAATGTATCATGTCAGGTCGACCTCCACGAGGTTCTCCCTGGAAGCCATCGTATTAAATTCCTGATGAATTTGTCACGATGGGCTAACTGACAACGGGCAAAAATCATGATGTTACATGATTTTTGAATTTACACTTATTTGTATCTATATAAATAATAGATTACCTATAGACAAATGAAATTTTACAGGTACACAAAAAAAGTCATGAAGGTGAAAATCTGGTGCTGAAATGCAACTTCTGCTTGGAGGAGGCGGCTGATGATGAAGCCCTAACTACACATGAGGCCACTCACACGGGGCCCAAACCCTACCTATGTACCATATGCGGGAAGTCATACAAACGTAGAGAGACTATGGTAAGAATCAGTCAGTATGGGACTTTAATGTTTATTTTATTTAACTTCAAAATTATGTACTTTTTTTTATACTACTATGTTGGCAAGCAAGCATACGGCCCATCTGATGGTAAATGGTTACCGTAGCCTATGTACGCCTGAAACACCAGGGGTGTCACGTGCGAGTTACCGACCCTTAAGAAACCTTAATATACCCTTCTTGAAAAACCCCATGCTGTAGTCTCGTGGGAAAATACGTATAATATGTATGTACTTTATGTAATTGTATAACTGTATATATAGTTTAATATATGATTACTAGCTGTCCCGGCAAACGTTGTCTTGCCATATAAATTAATAACGCTATAAAAAAATAGGGGTTGATGATAAAAGGGTGAAATTTAGGGTTTAATTAATTTTTTAACATAATAAAAAAAAATAAGAAATGTCCAAAAAAATAATGTTACGGGTGGACAACCCTTAACACTTAGGGGTATGAAAAATAGATAGTAGCCGATTCTCAGACTCTACTGAATATGCATATAAAATTTCATAAAAATCGGTCAAGCCGTTCGGGAGGAGTATGGTAACTAACATTGTGACACGAGAATTTTATATATAAGATTATTATTTACATAAATTTTAATTACGTGAGGTGTTTTTTTTAATAATTATAGTGGATTTCTCTTTATTATAAAGTTCTTTTCACCTCGAAATCATTCCGAACAGACGGTAAATTTAACATAGTCTGTATTAAATAAAGAGCAACACACAAGTTTCTTGCTCGTTCTTCTTGTGATGAGACAGCTTTCCGAACGAGTGGTAGATAAAAAACTAATTGTTATGACTATTCAAAAGTGCTTAAATTATAGTTTATTTGAATAGAAATAGAAATAATCTTTATTCAAATAAATTAATATAAGCACTTTTGAATAGTCAAGTTTTTTTTATTCTACCGCTCATTCGGAATGCAGATTCATCACAAGAAGAATAAGCAAGAAACTTGTGTGTTGCTCCAGACACAAGTTTCTTGCTTATTCTTCTTGTGATGAATCTGCATTCCGCTGCTCTTTTAAATAAATATTGATTTACTTATATTTAATTAACAACAAGGATTAGGCATGCGACAATCAACATAGAAACCGCTACGCACTTAATCTCTGTTCAATCAGATAACATTGTCAGCGCTATGAATTTTAAGTTAGATATTTTCTACAAAAACATTATTATCATTTATAAATTCTTCAATTTTACAATAAGCTTTTTTACAAAGAAAATATTTTATGACACATTTTGAATTTTTTTCTTACAAATTGACTACAGACTCTGGGAGTTGTAAAACCTAAAAATAAACCGAATAAATGATTTTCTATTATATTCTATAAATGTACATGAATAAAGATATTTTGATTTTTGAGTCTATGTTTCCATTCCCACAGATATACCATAGAAAACACCATAAACCAGAGAAGGAATACATCTGCGATATATGTTCTAAGACATTTAACGCGCCATGCAAACTCCAAAGACACATCGTCAGCCATAGGGTGGACAAATTTGTGCTCCGCTACGAATGTCCAGTTTGTGCGCACATGTTCAACACAAAATATCACATTAAAATGCATTTGGCGACTCACCAGAAGGAGGGACTGTGAGTATTTGTGTTTATTACTATTTGTATGGAAGTTGTATGAGAGTAGTTTAGGTTGGAATAGACGTGCGAGAACTTCAGTAAAAAGTTACGTTGGTAATTGACTTTATTACAATTTGTATGAGTTTGTATGGGTATTGTATGAGAGTTATGTTATGTCGAAATGGATTTAGGATCGTTCTAGAAAAAAGTGTTGTGCGTTATTGTAATTTGTACGAGTGTGTATGGAAATTGTGTGAGAGGTATGTTACGCCGATATGTGCTTGCCTCTCTAATACCACCCATACACACTCATACAAATTACAATAATGCACAATACTTTCTTCTAGAACGATCCTAAATCCATTTCGACATAATATAACTCTCATACAACACCCATACAATTTCAAAGTAGGTTGGAATAGACGTGCGAGAACTTTAGTAAAATGTGACGTTGGTACAATTTGTATGAGTTTGTATGGGTGTTGTATGTCGTCGTAATGGAGTTAGCCATGTACCACAGGATAGTACTGTTGGAAATTGTCTTTATTACAATTTGTATGAGTTTGTATGGGTGTTGTATGATAGTTATATTATGTCAAATTCTCACATATTTGTGTTTATTTATTTATTTTTAAAGGTCACCAACATAAGATGCAGCAATAAAAGTCTGTCGTGATTCTATACAATTCTAATGATCTTGTATGGAGTTTGTATGGAAGTTGTATGAGAGTAGTTTATGTTGTAATAGACGTGCGAGAACTTAAGAAAGTATTGTGCGTTGTAGTAATTTGTATGAGTGTGTATGGAAATTGTATGCAGTTTTAGCCTCATGAATTTTATAGCTTACGTTTTATTCCGATGTAAAATCTATATTAAATGTAAAGTTTCATCAAAATCCGTTTAATAACTTTTGCTAGATATTTGTTTTTGCAACAAACATCTATACACAGTTCCGCGTTTATAACATTACTAGCTACTCGCCCCGGCTTTGCTCGGGTGTACACGTATTATATATATAAACCTTCCTCTTGAATCACTCTATCTATTAAAATAAACCGCTTCAAAATCCGTTGCGTAGTTTTAAAGATTTAAGCATACATAGGGACAGATAGACATCGACTTTGTTTTATACCATGTAATGATTATGACTAAAATAAATATTCTTTAACAGAATCATAGAAGAAAACCGAAACGACATACTAGCGATGGTGCTGCAGAATGCTCGTAAAATACCCAAACACGCGGACGGACAAGCAAATATCGACATGATACCACCGGACGAGCGAAGCCGCGTGTGCAACATATGCGGCCAGGTTTTCCAACATTTCTATTACCTCGAAGAGCATTTAAAGAGTCACGGCTCTAAAATAGCAATAGAGGATATAACAAAGACAGAAGAAAAGAAACACACGTGTCCCGTTTGCAATAAAAGCTTCAAGTTACATTACTACTTGAAGCTACATAACTTCACCCACACGAAAGAAAAGCCGTACATATGTCAACAGTGCGGAAAAGGGTTCATCACCAAAGGGAAGTTGAAGAGGCATTTGGAAACGCACTCCGGTCTTAAGAAGTATCAATGTCATATTTGTTATAAATTCTTCACGAGAACTTCGTATTTAAGGATTCACATCAGGACCATACATGGCACGCAGGATTACAATTTTAGGCTAGAGAAAGGGTATGGGGCACAAATAGGGTCTGGAATGATGGGGCATCATAATATTTAGTTTTGTTATATTACCATACTGTTATTTTTCTAAAATAAAAGTAGCATAAGTTACTCCTTATTACAGCAGCTACCTCCTAAAAAAGCCCCGTCAAAATCGGTCCACCCATTTCAGAGATTACCCGGAACAAACAGATAGACAAAGAAAAATTGTAAAAAATGTTATATTGGTGTACTGTATTTATATTCATATGCATGTAGTAAAAAACTGTTATTTCAATATTACAAACAGACACTCCAATTTTATTTATATGTATAGACTAGCTGTACTCACGACTTCGTCCGCGTGGAATTTAACTTTATTTTTCTAAAATAAAAACAGCCTAAGTTACTCCTTATTACAGCAGCTACCTACTAAAAAAAGTCCCGTCAGGTTCAGCCATTTCAGAGATTAGCTTGAACAAACAGACAGACAGAGAAAAATTAAAAAATGTGGTATTGAATATATATAATAAGTTGTAAAGGCCAGCTGCGGCCAACAGCAGTCCAAAAAAAATTAACATTTTAAAGTCTTTAAGCCTCACCGGACGATAGTGGGCGAGTGCAGATGGCACTCCAAACCAAAGGAAGGACTTATGGAGCGGCTGAAGGACAACTACCGCCTGACGGATACAACTTTACTCTTAGGGCACTGTTAGGGGTTCGAACCTCGGCTCAGGCCGTCGTAATTTCGATCTCTGTGTATAATTATGGATCCCTTCAGGGGCCCCCAATGTTAAGAATAGTCAAGAGAACTTTTTAAGTACTGACGTCATATGTGGCTGTTTTATTTTAATGCTATACTACCTCTTTTTGCGTAGTCAAGTAAATTGGTTATGGGAATTTAGTTATTAAATATTTTTGAAATGTTATCTTATAATTAAATGCATTAAGGTATATTTTATACAAACTCGTCTGCGTGTACCTCAGTCTCAGCTGTTTCAGCAAGCAGCTTGCTTTGTAAGCTGTTTCGGTTGTAAGGTGCAGATTAGGAACTGAAATTACAGGATAAGAGGCGTGACAGCTTAGTACTCTGGAATGTTGACGCATGTGTGGTATCACGGATGTATATGCATGTATATGAGTTAGGGTTACTATTTACTATCAGCCGGGGCGTATGGTTGTTTACTATATTCGTGTAGGATGTATAAACAGAGTGTGATATTACAGAAAAAGTACCAGGACTACATGAAGTTGTAGGCAGTTTGAAGTGGGATGTGCCAGTGAAATTATATATAGAACTTAGAGTGATAACGCATGAATGGTATAGTGACATATAATCTGTCCGGACGTCAGGTCACCATGTGACGCCCGTGATACGTGTGCCTTGTCATTACAAAGGTTTAAGATGCCATGCCTCTTATCCTATATTTTTTAATGAATGTGTAACATAACTAAGAGATTCGAAACATTTTTCCAATCCTTTTTATCCTAAATTAAAGATATAAAAGATCGCTTAGGGTAACTGATCTTTTATATAGTTAATTTCTGTAAACAAGGATTGGAAAAATATTTCCGAATTATTCCAATGCAGATAAATTATATGAATATGTTTTATGTTAGTAATAAATATATATATATATTAAAAATTGTAAATGTAAATTTGTACATACAATTGTATATAGTATTGTTATTAGTATGGAATGAACATAAAGTTATTTCTTTATTTAGTTAATGTAGTAATGGGACGCTGTCGTTTTGTTCGTGTGTCTGTTTTTCTAAGCCACGTGACTTATAATACAGTTTTTACTATAATTTAGAGAATTTCTTCTGATAATTTTTTATTTTATTTGTAATGTACGCGTGTACGAAACTGAGGTGTTTATTTTATTCTCAAAAACTTAATTATTCGTTAACGAAACTCAATTTGTTAATTTACAAAAACAAATTATTTTCAATATCATATGTGTAGGAAATACGTTAAAGATCGAAAATGTATACAAAAACACTACTTTTGTTAGAAATAATTGCTAACATGAATGAGGCGTGATCTAACAGTTTGGGCACAAAAATCTGCAGTTTTTGCCAAACTGAACAGGAAGCTCCACTACGCATCCTATATACCAGTAGCTCACAAATCTGCAGCTTTGGCAACCTGAAGAGTAAACGCCACTACACATCCTATGTGGTTGTAGCCCACTCATGCATAAACGTAATATCTCCTTTGGAAAGTTTACACTCTATCCTGAGGAGATAAAAACCATCGCTCCTAAGAATATCATTCAATTCTTGTCCCTGACGGGTCTAGGTAGCGAACTCTGAAAAGGGCGAGCACAATAGATGTATGCAGGTCGCAGTGCTACAGGTCCAAGCACCTGACCAAAACCCTTAATAAAAAAAACTGGGCGGTAATGGTTGTTTAAATTTTCGCTTAGGTTTATAGAATATTACTTTATCGATATATATATTTGTTATTTATTAAATCGTAATTTTTGAACGCGAATAGTCAAATTGCAACTGTTGATAATCAATTGATGAATTAAACTGATTTATAAAACCGCGCCAATATGTTGAATAGCCGTCGAATTATGTTAATTCAAATCTTTCATTTCTTTTGGATTGGAGGTTTTCGTACGTATTTTAATATTTAGTGTTAATATTTTTTTTTGTTGTTAAATAAAACATTGGGGCGAGTTTCACATGGTTCAGTGAAAATGTTATTATGCATATAAAGGAATAGGCTTTGGAAAGGTTTTAAGGTAATTCTTTAGACCATAAATAACGTCAGACGTTAGTGTGGAATTCGCTGAAGTGTAACGTAGTGTGACAAAGGGTGCGAGGAGTTATGTGTCGATACGTCACATTTAATTACAGTTAAGTATTGAAACGCTGAAAAGAATTGTGTGACACAGGGGGCGCTACAAAGCACGGTTGTTACTTTTTTATTTTTAATATAAATACAGGGTGTGATTAGTTTATAATATGTGGAAATTGAACTGTTGATACGTGAGGCAGCTTGACAAATCTTGTTTGTATTTTTTAATAATAATGATATTGTGATCATCACCCTATACATAAATGCGTGATATATACTTTATTGCACATCTAAAGGTGGATATTAACATATAGTAAAATTGTTACGACGCGTAATTGTCTATTTGTGAGTTTTTCAAGACATAGTCGAATGGTGCACCCATTTGCGCTAATGGTATACGCTGGGCACCAGTGAGGATAAGATGAGCATGAAGTGAGGTCAGTTAGTACATGGGGTGAATTCAGAAATTTAGCTCAATGCTTTTCGGGGGGATCCGTGTGGATTTCACCCTGACATGGGACAAGTGTGATCATCACTCCATAATAGTTCCATTCCCCCATGGTAAATGGTTGTTTTGAGGCTAGATAATGGGATGGTGCACCCGCCTGCGCTAACGGTTTACGCTGGCGGGGCACCAGTGGAGGATGATATGATGAGCATGAGGTCAGGTCAGTTAGCCCATCGTGACAGATTAATCAGGAATTTATCACGACGGTTTCCAGGGGGAACCGCGTGGGGGTCAACCTGACATGGTACATTGCTAGCAATGGGGTCAAAAGTCCTCATTACTAACAATCCCCTTCCCCCCCCTCCATGGTAAATGGTTACCGTATCCCATAGACGCTTGAAACACTAGGGTGTCACGTGCGCGTAGCCGGCTCTAAAACTGTTTCATTTCAAAAGGGGAGTTACAAAAATTATAATGTTTAAAGTTGTATGGAATTATACTTTTTATAAATAAAGCACTGTTGAGGGCGGATACAATATTGTTTTAACCGACTTTTAATAATGATAAGTTATGTGTTAGCAATAATTTTTACCATTTAGTTATGAATATGTTGTGAGTTTGCAAGAGGTTGTTGATTTTGTAAAAAAATATAGCAAATAAACTAATTAAGTTTTATTCGTTTGTTTTATTTTATCTCGGAAATGGTAAACTAGCCGTTTTCAGCGACTTTGCTCGGGATGTAGGATATTTATTTATTTATTTAACTTCAATGCACACAATATACAAAATATAGTAAAGTACATTTGGCGGACACCATGCGGCATTTTCTACCAGTCGACCATGGGTGGTGCAGAGAATAAATGTTGGCGGTGCAAATATAATAAATGATAAATAAAAAGCAACAAAATATAAACAGAATGATAAATACAATATATATCTAAGGATTACAATCATAAATTACATAAATATATGCAAATATTATATTATACATATATACAAATAATTATATACACATATATATATAAAATAAATATATACTAGATACTCAATAGTCTGACAGTCACAGAACCATAGAGAGTAGAATGGAAAAATAGTGAAAGAAAGAGAAATAGAAGAGAGTAGTAAAAAGTTACAAATTGAGATAATGTTCCCGTAGTTTATGTTTAAAAGAAATTTTATTATTTATATGTTAATAAGTAAGTAAGTTATATGTATGGATATGTATCTATATGTATCCATTTCCAATGTTTCCATTATAAATGAGAATTTATTTAATTAATATTCAATATACAAAACTTGCTACAGGCTTGTTGACACGAATTCGACTGGGGAGTCGTGAATACAAATCTGATAGTATATTAAATATATTGAATTACACTGGTTCTACTTCAGGATTGCAAATACTAACTTCTTTTCTCAATCCTTCACTGTCCAGGCTATTCGTCTTTGGAACTTCTTGCCACTTTCTATTAGATCTGCTCAATCCCATTACATTTAAAAAAAACTAGTCAAATCTCAAGTTCTAATTAAAAATCTTCAATTTTTTGTTTCGATTCAATTCATACAAATCTTCAATTCTTCAATATATAAAATCATACATGTATGAGTATTATTTTATATATTTTATTTATATACGTGTATCTTATTTATATATACCTTTAGTATGTATGTTATTTATGATACGTATATTTAGTATTCATATAATATTTAACTCTCTTTTTATAGTGCGTTACCTACCTTTCTCTCACCCAATACTTTTATCTCCCAGGTTGTCTGTAAGAGATCGCTTTGAACGATTAGGTCGCCTTTTGTTCACATATTTGTCTTTCATTCTTTTTTGTAATTATATGTTCTTTTTTTTATGCATAATAAAGAGTTTTTATTATTATTGTAGTACATAAGTACTGTTTGGGAAACTACTCTGCTACCAAAATGTTAGGGAATATATAGGGGGATTTAGTATGTAAGCGTCAGTCACGTACCTTTACGGTTCTGCGGATTTCTTGGGCTTCAGGGTCTCGAAGGTATCTTCGCTAGCTTTCCAGTTTCACAGTAGGTTTCACAGTTCTAATTTATTTTAATTCACAACACAATGCGCGCGCGCGTCAAGGCCGCTGTACGGTCCGTTTGTTACTAGTTAGGGAGGGGAAGGGAACGCGCGGGAACAGAAAACTAACGGACTCTAATATAATATAATATCTGTGCTTACGATGACACAGGGTAGATTTTGAACAAGTACATAAGTTAAATTATAAATTAGTACAAATCACGGGATCTTACCAGGTTTTATTTTTATTAAGTTCCGATATTTCGGCAGTGTTTCAACCGTCATGATCACGGGTAGACTGAAG